GAGGGGCAAGGGGGCCGACCCTCTAGGGGAAATCCTAGAGGGGGGCTGCGGCCAAAAGGTGGGGGGCTTGCCCCCCAAGCAAGGGGGTGCGCCCCCTTTAGGGTTTCCCCCCCCCCCCAACCCTAGGCGCATGGGCCCAAGGGGGGGCGCGCCAAGCCCACTAGGGGCTGGCTGCTATCCCTACGCAGCCCAAGTGGCCCCCCGGGAGGGGTGGTCCCTCCCGGTGGACCCCCGGAACCTTTCCGGTGGTCCCGGTACAATACCGGTATGACCCCGAAACTTTCCGGTGCCCATTTAACAACTTCCCATATATAAAACTTTACCTCCGGACCATTCCGGGACTCCTCGTGACGTCTGGGATCTCATCCGGGACTCCGAACAACATTCGGTAATCACATACTTGTCTTCCTGATAACTCTAGCGTCACCGAACCTTAAGTGTGTAGACCCTACGGGTTCGGGAGACATGCAGACATGACCGAGACTCTCTGGTCAATAACCAACAGCGGGATCTGGATACCCATGTTGGCTCCCACATGCTCCTCGATGATGTCATCGGATGAACCACGATGTCGAGGATTCGATCAAACCCCGTATACAATTCCCTTTGTCAATCGGTACGTTACTTGCCCGAGACCCAATCGTTAGTATCCCAATACCTTGTTCAGTCTCGTTACCGGCAAGTCACTTTACTCGTACCGTAATGCATGATCCCGTGACCAAACACTTGGTCACCTTGAGCTCATTATGATGATGCATTACCGAGTGGGCCCAGAGATACCTCTCCGTCATACGGAGTGACAAATCCCAATCTCGATCCGTGTCAACCCAACAGACACTTTCGGAGATACCTGTAGTGCACCTTTATAATCACCCAGTTACGTTGTGACGTTTGGTACACCCAAAGCACTCCTACGGTATCCGGGAGTTACACGATCTCATGGTCGAAGGAAGAGATACTTGACATTGGAAAAGCTCTAGCAAACGAACTAACCGACCTATGTGCTATGCTTAAGATTGGGTCTTGTCCATCACATCATTCTCCTAATGATGTGATCCCGTTATCAACGACATTCAATGTCCATAGCCAGAAAACCATGACTATCTGTTGATCACAACGAGCTAGTCAACTAGAGGCTCACTAGGGACATATTGTGGTCTATGTATTCACACGTGTATTACGATTTCCGGATAATACAGTTATAGCATGAATAAAAGACTATTATCATGAACAAAGAAATATAATAATAATACTTTTATTATTGCCTCTAGGGCATATTTCCAACAACACCATAGTAGTAACCCAACCTTTGTGATCGGAGATCCCGTGAATTAGAATCTGGGAAGAACAAGCTATTGGTTAACTGAGGAGAGTAATAACTTATGATCGTCTCCAAGTGAAGATGCAAAACTCTCAGAGTTGTAAGGCTCAGATCTGTAAGGCAGGTCGGCAACATGCCTTAATGTGGTTCTATTGACTATAATTAGCAAAGATGTTGTCCTACAGAGCAGTCTTGAAAGAACACACCTATATGAGTTCTGACTGTAAACGTCGCAGTCTATGAGATTTGGGTGATCTCTAGTAAACTCACGAAGAGACCAGGGAATATGACGTATAAGCTCCAAACCGCGGGGTAGCCTACTGGCGGTGAGGTACTGGTTAAGACTTTGAGTGAAACCTGTTCACACAAAACTAGCAATTCAAGGCATTGTCCATTGTCAAGTTGTGAATGGATATAGCTTAAAGTTCTAGGCAGAAGTTCAACTTAACAGTCTCTGCTGAAACACTGGTATATTAAACAAGTGGTGAGAGAAGACAAATCTCTAAATGGGTATTTGAGATCTGGTGGGAGATTGTTAGAATTAATGGGCTAGGCCCATAGCAATTTCTGAAATCTCAAAGCCCATGTGTAAAATGGCAAGTGGTGGTGCTAAGTTTAGCCCCACCTTAAAAGTTGAAGAAGAGTTGGACCTCTTTATATAGTGGGTTCTCTCCACCACTCTAAGTGGTGTGTGAGAAGAAAAAGGGAAAACCACACGCGCGCGCTCGCTCGCCTCGCCTGGCCTGGCCTGGCCTGGGCGAGGCGAGGCGTACATGCGACATGCGTGTGAATGGTCCGCCGAAATCCGGTCCGTCTCCTTGCAGGAGCGCAGCTTCCTTTTGCCGTTTCATTTTTATGTCTTGGCAGACAAGTTTTGATTTCTTGTCCGGTAAGTATATGAATTAGAAACCAAGTCGGTTTGGGATTGTGGTCGCGACACAATACCGTCTCTGGTCCTAATATATATACAGCTACCGGCTGCGGCCAGAGATACACCGAAAAACACCTAGGGTTTTGCCTCATCTCACAACTTGCGCCGTCATTGTAGTCTACTCCATCCCAAACGCTGGCATGCATCGGCGCGTGGGAGAGCAGGTCTCCGGAACCGTTCGTCTTTGCGATCCTGCACCGGGAGAGGACGAATTAGGTTTTTGGGAAGCGCTGTGCGCGACTGCTCAAATTCGTCATCACGGGTCGTCTTCCGTCCAAGTCGGGCGGTGCTACTCATCGTCGTATTCATCGCCGTCAGCAGCAGATCGTCGCCAACATCGTCATCAACACTGTCGCACCCATAATAGCTAACGATCAGTACGTCCAACATCCTTTGTTCATGTCTGTTTCTACAGCTATTGTTACGTGCTTGTTGCTGTTATGCATGTCTTGCTGTTCTTCTAGTTTGCTAGATTATTGCATGCTAGTATCTCTTCTAGTCATGAATTATTTACTGAAATTAATTATGAACTTGCCTAATATTCCAACAAATGTTGAGTTGCCGAGAGCTCAGGATGCTGACAAAACTACGGTTTCTTCTCCATTCCTGCCTAGCCGCAAACCTTGACCAGTGCGCCTGACCCAAGCACCTGAAGCGCATCAACCCGCTCACAAGTCATACCCAGCGAAGCCTAGATAGTTAGGAAAGTAGCGCGCACGTGGAGCTCGGGGTTCCGGTGTTGGAGTCTCGCCCTGACGCCGCCCATGTCCACCACGGCTGCGGCGCACCACCAGCTGCATCGGCATGCGGAGTCCACGCCGCGCGACCTCCAGCGCGCACGGCAAGCTAGACCGCTGCTCGGCGTCAGGTCAGCAGCAGCTGAAGCGTGGGGGGAACCCAACCTTGACCCGTACGGATGTACAAAGCTGAAAAAAGGCGTGAGGGGTCCTGCCTACGTGCTTGCTGCCAGCACCTTTAGAGCAGATGGTGGCACCGGCGGCGGAGGCGGAGGCGGTGGCGATGGCCGGCCGCAAGACCTTGCCGGACGAGTGCAAGACCCTGTGGCAGATCGCTGGGCCGGTCATCCTCACCGGCGTCTTCCAGTTCCTCATCGGCTTCGTCACCGTCGCCTTCGTCGGCCACATCGGCAAGGTCGAGCTCGCCGCCGTCTCCATTGTCATCGGCGTCATCGAAGGCCTCGGCTTCGGCCTCCTGGTACCTATTACTACCTGACAAATCGACTTCATATATATTTCGATTCTTTCATTAAACAAGCTAGAAGCCTAGAACCGTGTGGTTTGACAAGCGTTGTGGCGTCGCGCCGCAGCTGGGCATGGGGAGCGCCCTGGAGACGCTGTGCGGGCAGGCGGTGGGGGCCGGGCAGCTCCACACGCTGGGCGTCTACATGCAGCGCTCCTGGATCATCTGCCTCGCCACGGCCGTCGCCCTGCTCCCGGTCTACATCTTCACGGACCCCATCCTCCGCCTGCTCCGGCAGTCCCCGGAGATCTCCGCCGTGGCCGGGCGGTACGCGCGCTGGTGCGTGCCGCAGCTCTTGGCCTACGCCGTCAACTTCCCCATGCAGAAGTTCTACCAGGCGCAGAGCCGAGTGTGGGTCATGACGCTCATCTCCGGCGCCGCCGTCGGCCTGCACGCGCTGATCAACTGGGTCGTCGTCGCCAGGCTCCGCCGCGGCCTCCTGGGCGCCGCCATGGTCGGCAACGCCTCCTGGTGGCTCATCAACGCCGCGCAGTTCCTGTACGTCGTCGGCGGCTCCTTCCCGGAGGCGTGGACCGGGTTCTCGCGCAAGGCCTTCGCCAGCCTCGCCGGCTTCGTCAGGCTCTCCCTCGCCTCCGCCGTCATGCTCTGGTTCCTACTACTACTTTCGTTGCTTCCTGCTCTAATTAGGAGTATCTACATTACAGACGAAATTGTGAGTATAGGAGTGATATTTGTGCTGCAGCTTAGAGATGTGGTACTACACGGCGGTGATCATTCTAGTGGGTTGCCTGAAGAACCCAGAGATTCAAGTCGGGGCCGTCTCCATATGGTCAGTGTACCAGTAATCTCTGACTGACTTACAGTGCTTGTTCCGAGACCTCTTCTTTAATAATTCGCCTAATAAGAGGTTGAATTCTGTTGCAACAGCATGAACTACAACATCTGGACACTAATGGTATCCGTTGGTTTCAATGCCGCCGTGAGGTACGCGCGCAACCGCTCTGTCCTCCTCCCCCTTTCTAATTCCTGTCTCTCAACTCTCAAGACATTCCAAGAAATAATGACCCTGATCCATCATGCCCAGTGTTCGCGTGGCGAACGAACTTGGCGCCAAGCACCCGAAAGCGGCCAAGTTCTCGGTCGTGGTGGCGGTGGCCACGTCGGCCGCCGTCGGGCTCGTCTTCACGCTCGTCGCCCTCCTGGCGAGGAAGCAGCTGCCTAGGCTTTTCACCGACGACGAGCTCGTCGTCAAGGAGGCCGCGAAGCTGGGGTACCTTCTGGCAGCCACCATAGGCCTCAACAGCATTCAGCCGGTGCTATCAGGTAGGTATTATACGCATCAGTCATCATCAAGAACGTTATCTGGAAAGTAAGTCTGTTGACAGCAAATCGATGATGATGTGACGTGTGTGATCGTCGTTGGTGATTCCTTCCAGGAGTGGCCATTGGAGCTGGGTGGCAGTCCTTGGTCGCCTGGGTCAACATCGGCTGCTACTATCTCATCGGCCTGCCCCTCGCAGCTGTCCTCGGCTTCAAGCTGAAGCTTAACGCAACGGTAAGGCCAAGACGGACAGTAGTCCAGGCTCCAGGAGACTCTCTGCTGTTCTGATTTTTGCCGGGAGAAATGCAAACGGCTACAGATTCTGTGTACGTGCAGGGGATTTGGGTGGGGATGCTGATCGGCACGGTTCTGCAGACCGTCATCCTGTTTATGATCCTCTTCAGAACCAAATGGCATAAAGAGGTAACAAACACGCTTGACAAACTAGTTCGAACAACTGAAAAGTGTAACTCCTAGTTGATCTTTGATTTCTGATGCACTAATTTTGGGTGGTGGTGATGCAGGCTATGCTGGCGGAAGAGCGGGTGCGGAACTGGGGAGGAAACGTCGAGCTGCCGACCGTCCAAGAAGCAAGATGAAACGGGAACGGGGAAGCCTGGTTGCGCGCACACCACACAAATTTGACACAAAGAATAAACACAAGATACAAAAATAGTACATGAATCATTCTCTCTCTTTTTTACTGAGAGGGACTACAGTAATCATTCGGTGTAGATGTACTCCCTCCGTCCGGAAATACTTGTCATCAAGATGAATAAAAAATGATGTATCTAGATGTATTTTAATTCTAGATACATCCATTTTAATTTATTTTGATAACAAGTATTTCCGGATGAAGGGAGTATTCTTTAAGGGTCTTCACTTTTGTTCTATAATCTCTTGAAGCATAAGGTTAGAAGTTAGTCTCGTGGTCTGCGGTGGGCGGCCGGCGCGATGCTAATAGGCCGATGTCTAGGGTGCACTTTTGTTTGATCTTGGTTTCTAGAGGAGTTTGATCATTTTGTTTTGAGACTATTTCATATAATTAACAAGAGGACATCGAATAAAAAAAAACTGAAACACACTTGATAAAACAAAAATCACTGATTTTTTTTTTTTTTGAACACACAAAAATCACTGATAAACCAAAGAACCTCCCATATAACGCTCCTTGCGACATGTAGGACTGTCGCACCGGGCCTGCTATGGGCTGCTGGCCCAGTCAGCCGTTTCTCGCTGTTTATGTGCCAGATGTTGTACTCTTTTTGTCTAAAGAAAAGATGTTGTACTATTTTGGGTTTAACAAAAATCATTCTTATGCTTCTTTCGGTTTACTCGTGTTGGGTAAAGCTGGACTCGCCTAAACGGGTCAACATCGAACGGTCGCCCAAAACACTTTGGCATCAGCCTCATGACGATGCCTCATGTGACATATGTAGGATCAGATGTTAGGAAAAATAGGTCACGGACAGTAAAGTCGTGGGCCGGTCATTTTTCTAACGGTATACACCGGCATCGTCCCCCAGGCGCCGTTTTTGCGTGTTTTTATCTCCGAGCAATGGAAGCTGACTTAATAAGTTCCAACACTACTTTTCCCAGCATCACAGTGCCATTAACACATCAGACATCACCGTGAGTGACCAGACCACTGACCAGTGACAATTTTTGCAAACTTAATTGTCACCCCGCGCAACAGAAAGGCTCGGCGAGACGAGACGAGACTGGAGGGGCTGTAAACTAACTAATCCTCTCATGCAATTGTGGGCGTGCATGCTGAGCTCCGTCCGCCTCCCTTCTTTTTATTACCGAGGGAAGCAGGCAGGAAGCTTCCTCCGGCGTTGAACAGCTGACGTCCGGTCGCCGGCCGGCTCTTTATTGCCTGAGCTCCGCGCAGTGGTTCAGGTGGCATACATAACGCACGCCTTCGTCCATTTCATTGCGAGGTTTCTGTTTGCGGACTGGAATTGGGCTGAATTTATTATGTAGGAAAAATGGCTAGACACGATTGAAAAAATAAATTTAGGTCAGTCGATTTGTATTAGTCGATCTGTATTAGCCGTATGAAATCGATTGACCCGAAAACTAAATTCAGTGGACTAACCTTTAGCTATTATGTACGTATTATTTATGCAATACAATGCATTGCGTGGGCAATGCCATAAATAAACATGCACGTACCGTCAAATAAGATAAACATGTGGTATATACGAATGAATTGCATGGGCGGCTTCGATCTTGTCTTGGACCTAGCTTCTAATCGCGATGGTGTGAAAGCACGCAACCAGGGAAACAACAAGAAACTATAGGCGAAATGTTCAGCAGTTGTTGGCGTTTCGAAGCTTCCCAAAAGGCGGAGGGGCCAAAATTAATGGAAGAAACACCGCCATCCTTCTGTTTGCCATGGTAGTAAGAGGAAACGAAGCTACTCCCCCGTCTCATAATATAAGATCGTTTTTCACATTAGTGAATAAGTGTAGTTAATTACGTGAAGCAAATCGATTAGAGAATTGGATGGGACACTGGATATCACTACTCGCTGTCGCTAGTCTCACGGCTGTCATGTTGCATCTTGCATGCGACGACACCTATAGCTTACTCACGGCGGTGCTACCCATGATGTTTCCTTTGGATATCCGATCGAATTAGTATGTTCTCTCCTTAGTTTGAAACTGATGGCGGTCAGTAATTACACCAAGTCGACACTCTTCTTTGGCTAGCGACTAGTAACCTCACTCGATCGGTGCGTGTAATGTAAACTGAGGAAGTGAACATGGACATGTGCCACTGTTTTCGACGAAGCGAGTGTATTAATATCGTGAAGATATCAATTATACCAGCCTTTGCAACAACGCAAAACTTTATTGACATTATGAATGCACACAATCAATAAAAAAGAAAAAGCCCGCTACAGAGTTTCAGTCCTTGCAACTACAGCACAACCACTACCAAAACAACAACTAAAGTCCAAGTTCCTCAAAAGCGATGCCTCAAAGAAGAAAACAGTACACAAGCACCGTCGTCGGCTCGTCGCCGAGAATAGATCTTGGGCTTTCATCGTGAAGATAGCCCCCACACTCAAAACAATGCTTTCAATGGGGTAAGACTTTGAATTTCACCTTTACTGTCGCCTCACTTACATACCGCTGGTACGAATACCGAAACTCCAAGTAAGTTCCTCATGTGCCATCATCAATCGGCTCGATCAATCCTTCCGACAGAAAGCAAGAAGAACCACAAAAGTCCGGTGAAATTTCCCTCCGCTGCACGCCCCGCCGTAACATACTGCATTGGACCGCTTCGCCTTTCTCCCCTTATATATACGCCCGCACCTCAAGCATCACGGTCTCACCGCACGCGCGCGCGCACACGCACGCTTCACTAGCTTAGCTTTCGGCTTTTGGCTACGTAGTTTCGGCGGCAAATGGCGACCATCGAGGTCTCCAAGCCACCGTCATCCAAGCGCATGTCCCCGAAGGGGAGCTTCAAGCTGAGCCTGCTCGCCTGCGGCCACTGCAAGGCCACCACAGTCTCGCCCCCGGACTCCCCCACCGGCGCCGGCGCGCGGTCGCTCTCGTCCTCGGCGTCGTCCTCCGCGGGGACCTCCCGCGACCGCCAGGCGGAGCTGCGGGAGATCTTCCGCCACTTCGACCGCGACATGGACGGCCGGATCTCGGGCCGGGAGCTCCGCGAGTTCTTCGCGTCCATGGGCGACGGCGGCGCGGAGGCCGCGCTGGAGCTCGACGCGGCCGGCGACCTCATGCTGGGGTTCGAGGACTTCGTCAGGATCGTGGAGCGCAAGGGCGGGGAGGAGGAGGAGCGCGAGGACCTGCGGCGCGCGTTCCAGGCCTTCGAGGCCGTCAAGGGCTCCGGCCGGATCACGCCGCGCGGCCTGCAGCGCGTGCTCAGCCAGCTCGGCGACGACCCGTCCGTCGCCGAGTGCGAGGCCATGATACGGGCCTACGACGACGACGGCGACGGCGAGCTCGATTTCCACGATTTCCACCGCATGATGAGCCATGACTAGCTGCCTGTGGCGCGGCTGGGCACCACTTGTTGTTACACTGTATAGTCTCTGTAGTTGTATACGTACACATACGTATGATGTAACTTGTACCCTTTTATTATATACTCCCTCCGTCCGAAAATACTTGTCATCAAAATGGATAAAAAGAGACGTATCTAGAACTAAAATACATCTAGATACATCTCCTTTTATCCAGTTTGATGACAAGTATTTCCGGACGGAGGAAGTATATATGAGATGGGTCACCCCTAGAGGGTTGAGCCGGTTCCCCCAATTCTATTGTCTTACATGGTATCAGACTAGGTAAACACGCTTCCGCCTAAAACCCTAACCTAGCTGCCGCGGTTCCTGTCATCTGCGCTGCGCCGCCGCTGTCCTTCAGATCGCGCCGCCGCCGCCACAGCCATGTCGGGCTCCGCCGCCTCCGGCTCCACCACGGCTAGCTTCTTGCCGGCCTCCCTCGCGGCTCTGCTGTCCCGACCCCTCGACGTCGCCGCGGCCTCCACCGCCCCGATTGAGACAAGGAGCTTCGGGTCGTTCTTCTCCTCGTCGCCAGGGCTTCCGATCGTGCCGTATCCTGCTGGGGCTACAGCGGGCGCTCCCTCGTCCGCCTCCCTCAGCGACGCGGCTCCCGCCTCTCTTCGCGACGCTCCGCTCAGTGGGGGCCAGCCGCCGATCGCCCCGTCCTTCGCGCCGATCGCCTCGGCCAGTGGGGGCCCATCCCTCGCGCTGGTGGCGCCTCCGTCGGCCATGATGGCCGGTTTCACTGCCTCGGCCTCGGCTCCTTCATCGCCTGTTCCCACGGCTGCGACAGTGGCTGCAACCGCGGCCTCTGCCTCTACGGCGCATCCGCCTCCGGCAGTCTACTCCGCGGGCTCTTTGCCGCCGCCGCCGCCGTCTCACTTCAGGAACCTCATCACCATCAAGTTGTCGGCAGACAACTACATCTTCTGGCGTGCGCAGGTTCTCCCGCTTCTCGGGAGTCATTATCTCCTGGGCTACGTCGATGGTTCTCTCCCTTGTCCCCCTGCGCTGGTGGATAGCGTGCACGGCCCGGACTACAATCCGGCACACCGTGTTTGGACAGGGCAGGACCAGGCGAACCTCTCCTCCATCCAGGGGTCGCTCACTCCGGCTGTTGCCGGACTTGTTGTCTTCGCCAAGACGTCTCATGAGGCATGGACCATCCTCGAGCGTTCGTTTGCGGCGCAGTCACAGGCTCGTGTCTCCGCGCTTCGTCGCCAGCTTGGTGAGTGCCAAAAGCTGGATTCCACGGCCACCGAGTTCTACAACAAGGTCAAGGGCCTTCCCGACACGTTGGCCTCCATCGGACAGCCCCTCACCGACTCCGAGTTTAACTCGTTCATTGTCAATGGTCTTGATGAGGAGTACGACGCCCTGGTCGAGATCATGAATGAGCGGGGCAACTCGAACCCCATGATGGCGCATGAGGTCTTTTCCCGCCTCCTTCTCACGGAACAGCGGGCCAAGTCGCGCCGCTCCAGGGGCAGTGGGGGCTCCCTCTCGGCCAACGCCGCCACCAAGGGTGGCCGCCCTTCTTCATCATCGAGGACTGCTTCGGGGCTGCCATCGCCGCCTGCCTCGGCCCCCCTGCTACCGCGACATTACCGAGGGTTGGTGGTAAGCGCGTGTGCCAACTATGTGGTATTGAGGGGCACTGGTCCTCTAAGTGCCACAAATGCTTTCAGAAGAGCTTTCTGGGTCTTGGCAATGATGGCAAGGACACGCGCAACTTTGCGCGTCAGGTGGCCATGGCGGATCGCCTAGTGTCCACCAAGCAGCAAGGGCACACTCAGTCCTACTCTGTTGATCCCCACTGGTACATGGACTTTGGGGCCACGGAGCATCTGACGAGTGAGATGGGAAAGCTCCATACTCGCGAACCCTACCACGGCTCCGACAAAATCCACACTGCAAATGGAGCAGGTATGCATATATCTCATATTGGTCAAGCATCTCTTCTCACTAGGCATGCAGATAGGAGTCTTCAACTTCGTAATGTGCTTAGAGTTCCCTCTGTGACACGTAATCTTCTTTCTGTTCCTAAACTTACACGTGATAATAATGTGCTTTGTGAATTCCATCCTTTTGATCTTTTTATTAAGGATCGGGGCACGAGGGACATTCTTCTTAGCGGGCGGTTGTGCCAGGGACTCTATCGTCTGGAGCATCCTGCAGTCGCTCGTGTGTTCAGTGGAGTTCGGGTATCTTTGTCACAGTGGCATGCTCGTCTTGGTCACCCGGCCACACCTATCGTTCGTCATGTTTTGCGTCATCATGAGCTTCCTAGTGTGTCTAGTAATAAAGATGTAGCAGTGTGTGATGCTTGTCAGTAGGGGAAGAGTCATCAACTTCCTTTTTTGGAGTCTAGTCGTGAGGTGAAACATCCTTTAGAACTTGTGTTTTCAGATGTGTGGGGTCCTGCTCAGACTTCTGTGAGTGGTCACAATTATTATATCAGTTTCATGGATGCTTATAGTCGCTTTACCTGGCTTTATCTTATTAAATGCAAATCTGATGTGTTTGACATTGTTGTTCAGTTTCAGAAGCATGTTGAACGTCTTCTCAAGCACAAAATTGTTCATGTTCAGTCCGACTAGGGGGGGGTGAATATCGCAACCTCAACTCCTTTCAGTCGCTTGGGATAGCTCACCGTTTAGCATGTCCACATACACATCAACAGAATGGTTCTGTCGAACGTTAGCATCGTCACATCGTTGAAACTGGTCTTACTCTATTGGCCCATGCATCGGTTCCGTTTCAGTTCTGGAGTGATGCTTTCACCACTGCATGTTTTCTCATAAACCGTACTCCCACTCGTGTTTTGAATATGAAGACTCCCATTGAGGTTCTCCTTAATGAACAACCTGACTATACCTTTTTTAAGGTCTTTGGGTGCGCTTGCTGGCCACATCTCCGCCCGTATAACAAGCGCAAGCTTGAGTTTCGCTCCAAAAAGTGTGTCTTTCTGGGCTATAGCTCTCTTCATAAAGGATACAAATGTCTTCATGTTCCCACCAATCGTGTCTATATATCTCAGGATGTCGTGTTTGATGAGCATGTTTTTCCCTTTGCCAAGCTTCCTGTGTCCACTGTTGAACCACCCTCTTTGCATTCATCCTCTGTTGCAGCTGACCAATTTGATGATGTTGCATACTCTCCTATATTGTTGCCTAACCATGGTGCAGGCACTGAACGTGGGGCTCGTTTGGAAATTTTAGAGGCACCGTCGCCTCCTTCGTCGGCATCACCAGCGGCTCACGACGATCATGTTGAGCCTTTGCATGGCCTCGGCTCCCGTGCCCATGCACGTCCGGTCGATACCCCAGCGATGCATGCTTCTACGCCCCTGGCCTTTGGGCCGGTCTCGCTGCTTCGGCCTGCCATGACTCCCTTGCCAGAGGAGTCTGGGCCGGCATTGCCCGGGCTGGTTCCCTCGCCATGCAGCCCGGCGCTGCATGGCTCCGGCTCGTCGATGCGCCTGGCTCCGCTGGCCTCGGTGCCCCTGGCTCCTGAGCCGGCCTCGCCGCTTCGCTCGGCCACGCCGGTCTCGTCGCCTCCTCGGCCTTCCCCGTCAGTTTCGCCTGGGCCGAGCTCACCGGCTTCCGGTGTGCTCTCACCGGTCCTCTCTGAGGCCTCTCCGTTGCCAGCCGAGTCGTCCTCGCCCTCACCGCCTTCATCACCAGAGTCCTCTCCGGCTCCTATGCCTACTGTGGTCCCTCAACGACCACATACACGGAGTCGCAGTGGTGTTTTCCAGCCCAAACAGCGACATGATGGGACTGTTGCTTGGTTGGCTGCCTGTATGGCTGCTGCTCGTGCGGATCCTTCCTCTGAGCCTCGTACGTATCAGGCTGCTCTGAGTATACCTCATTGGCGAGAGGCTATGGAGTAGGAGTATCATGCTCTTCTCCTCAACAAGACATGGACTCTTGTTCCGCCACCACCCAGTGTGAATGTCATTGATTCCAAATGGGTTTTCAAAGTGAAGAAGCATTCAGATGGTTCTATTGAGCGCTACAAGGCGCGGCTGGTTGCTAGAGGTTTTCGGCAGCGTTATGGTCTTGATTATGGAGACACCTTCAGTCCAGTGGTTAAACCTACTACTATCAGGCTTCTTCTCTCTCTTGCAGTTACTCGGGGTTGGTCTCTTCGTCAGTTGGATGTGCAGAATGCTTTTCTCCATGGTGTTCTGGAAGAGGAGGTATATATGCGGAAGCCTCCAGGGTTTTCTGATCCTGATCATCCTGATTATCTGTGTCGGCTCACTAAAGCACTCTATGGTCTGAAGCAAGCTCCTCGTGCTTGGCATGCTCGTCTTGCGACGGCCCTTCGTGCTCATGGATTTGCATCATCAGCTGCTGACTCCTCGTTATTTCTTCTCCAGAGGCCTGAAGTCACCATGTATCTGCTTGTTTATGTGGATGATATTATCCTTGTCAGTTCCTCTCAGTCGGCTGCTGCTGCTCTTGTTCGGTCTCTTCGTGCTGATTTTGTGGTCAAAGATCTTGGGCAGCTTCACTACTTTCTTGGTGTCGAGGTTGCTTCTGTTTCCAGTGGTCTTGTTATGACACAAAAGAAGTACTCTTTGGATCTGTTGCAGCGGGCTGGGATGCTTAAGTGCAAACCGACTACTACTCCTATGTCTACTACTGACAGGATTACTGCTGTCGATGGTGACCTCCTGCCTTCTACTGATGCGACACAGTACAGGAGTATTGTTGGTGGGTTGCAGTACCTGACGATCACACGTCCTGATATCTCTTTTGCTGTCAACAGAGTATGTCAGTATCTTCAGGCACCTCGTGACACTCATTGGTCTGCGGTGAAGCGCATCTTGCGCTACATTCGTTTCACGTTGTCCTATGGTTTGCACATTCGACCGAATCCCTCTGGGTCATCTCGGCGTATTCTGATGCGGATTGGGCTGGCAGTCCAGATGACAGGCGATCCATGGGGGGCTATGCTGTGTTCTTTGG